GGGAAAGTTATTTTCCCTAAAGGTTCTAGGTTCGAGAAGTTGTGTCTACAGGATGTGTGACTATTGTCAATAGATTAAGAAAGTTCTGAACAAATAATACTTTGTAATCACCTTAAACTATTAAAAAAATATAGAAAAATTAATAAAAACCAAATTTAGTGAGAGAATATAAAAAAATTACCAAAACTTTTAGAATAATATAATTTTGTTAATTTGTAGGCCAAATATCAAATGGTGTTTTGACCAAATCAATTAATGTATTAAGTTAAATAAGTTTGATTAATTAGTAAAAGAATATTATCATGGCTTTTAGACTAATATATTATTGTTAAATAAATAAATTAAGCTCGAGTTAATTAATGTGTTAAACAAACTCCACTCAATCAATTGAATCACGCATGTTTAAATAACAACACCAAATGGCCTGAATTGCACCAATGGCACGAATCATTTAGCAATGAATCAGCAAGACAGTCACTCTGGTATTATGAAACAGTCCCGGCTTTTTCATTAATGTCATCGTCCGCTACCGGAGAGGCTGATGGAGCTGACTTTCATGGGAGTTGCCACAACAAGTGGAGCTTCCGGCGAGTCGCTGATGGCGAATTTGTCGTGCATGAAACGACTCTCTACGATGTACTCGTCCTTCAACACGATCTTGTAGCAATAACAGCTCTTCAGTCCTTGTAATTAAGAAAGTAATAGTTTTATTGTTTTTGGATAATGACTGAACGAAGACATGTTTGGCGTCAAGATGGGGGACCTAAATGAGACACAAAGTACCCATTAGATCAACATTTTATCCATTAAAACCATGAAAAAGTTGGCCACTTTTGCCACATTCTCTTTACTTGTACAGTCCAATGATCCCATGGTCTCCAGCTCTCCCCAAACATGAACTTGTCAAATCCCCATTTGGGGGTTCAATTGAAAAAGGTTTAATTTTGCTATGAGTCCCTGTATTCTTTACACATTTGAAATTTAATCCATTTGCTTTTAATTTCAATAATTTTTCGGCCTCTTTTTTTGTATGATTAAAAAGAGACTAGAAGCACAAATAGACCAAAAAGAGTTCCATTTAGATGAGAATGAAGAATCATGTGTAAGTTGGGTTGGTGATGGATGAATAGATTAAAAGCATAATGTCAAAATCAGCCTCTAATATTGATCAAAATGATCATTTTGATCCCAATTCTTTTTTGAGCATTTGGGCCCCAATATTTTATTTTAGGACAAAAAGACCTCTAATGTTTGGTCAAATAATCATTTTGATCCTTATTTTTTTCCTTGAGTATTTTGACTCCCAACGTTTTATTTTAGGATAAAAGACCCCTATTTTGAAGCGTTAACAGTTTGTTAGCTAACAATTTCTATTCATAGAGTGATTTTTTATCCCAAAATGAAACATTGAGGCCAAAATACTATAAAAAATAGAAATCAAAGTGACTATTTAGTCAAATATTAGGGACCTTTTTTGATATTATGCCTAAATTAAATCCCTCATATGTTACGAATTTGTTTTATAGGTAAAGAGTTGAGAAACTTTATTTCTTTCTACCAGCTCAAGTTCACATGGAGCTTTAGAAAAGCGTTGAAAAGACTTCAACTTATACACGTATAATGTTAAATTATAGGAACCCTAACATGGGATTTGGGAATAATAAACAAAATGCTCCTTAAAGTTCTTTTTTTTTTTAAATTCAGATCATTTTTAAACTGTCGATCAACAACAAAAAAATTTTTGGTTACTCTCCCGATTCTCTAGAGTTTTGTCTTAATAATCTGGACTGATCTGTGTCATACACCTGATTTTGATGAGTGAGTCTCCTAACGAGAATTTTCTGAATATACAAGACCTCAAACTCGATATCTACTTAAACAATACCAAACTTTTCAAGTAATACAATATTAACGTAACATAATATCTCGTCTTATCACATCATTCTTAATATGAGATTTGTAACAATCAATTAACAATATTAATGATTTAACGAACTAAATTGATTTCAACGTTATGATATAATTTGAAACAATATTTTATAAATGAATACAATATATATATATATATATATATATATATATATATATATATATATATTCTAGGGGTCTATGCATGGGTTCTTTGCCACCTTATTCTTTTGCATAGTTAGCCATTATTAAATTAGAATACAGAGTTAAACGAAGAGAGTTTCAATTGAAGTGCAAAATAAAGTAGATGTTGAATCATGTTCAAATAGTTTTTTTTTATTCAATTTTTAATAGTTACAAAATAATTATTAAATTTATTAAAATATTATAAAATATAATGCGATGAATAAATATAAGACTTTAATAAAATTTTAATAATAAGGATGATTATTTGAACATAATTTGATGACCTCTAATGTAGTTTACCAACGTTATATTACAAATCTTATTAGATGACAAATCTAAGTAACATGAGATGTCCCAAATAGGCGAATGCAAATGCATACCTCTGCATGTGGATTCTAACAAAAAGAAACAACATATATATATATATATATATATATTGGTTTCTGAAGAAGATATATTACTATAGGGCAATTGCCTGAAGATGTTCAACAGTGAACAGAAACAGCCTGATCTGTTTACAAGTTCAACAATGGATCCAAGGATTTCTTTCTCCAATGATTTTGCAGACCCTCATGTAGGGATCAAATACAATACCAACTATCGAGAAGCTCCGGTTTCTTCGGACTTCGAATTCTCGGTGAAGAACTATGATATGATACATGCAGACGAGATCTTCTTCAAGGGTATGTTGTTGCCTTTGAAAGGCACTGATCATGGCAGAAAGCTGACTTTGAGAGATACGTTGCTGGCGGACGACGATGACGACGGCTCGTTCCCGAGCTTGCGAAAGGGTTCGGGATGGTGGAAAGAGCGGCTGGGGTTGAAAAGGACGAACGTGGTGTCTAGGAAAAGGGATAGAAATGAACATGTTCTTGAGAAACTAGTTGAAGAGAAGGGTGCTGTGCCTATGTTTCTTCATGATGAACATCTTATCAGCAAATAGGCGAGATTACACCACATTTCGTATTTTTCTTTTTTGGTTAATTATGAGTTTCATTCCTCTACTTTTTAAAATTTTAAAAGTTAATCCTTCTAATTTATTAAAGTTTGATCCTCATATTTTACGAAAATTAAATAATTCCAATTGAATAACCTTGTCATTGAAGTAACGTCATGAAAATCAGTAGTTCAACAATTCATATGCAACTAGTTAGCAAAAATTATTACTTCAGTCACTTCATTACTAACAACTATACAAAATTCTCAGTTTTTTTGAAGTACGAAAGTCAAATTTTGATAAATTGAAATAATTCCTTCATTTTTATAAAGTAAAGAAATGAAATTCTCACTTGGACCATTTTTTTCTTGCTTTAATCATTTTAGTCCTAAAGATGTATATTCTGATGTTATGTTTCGTTTTCGGTACAGGGCGGTGGTACCATTGACGATAGAGAGATGATGTGATTGGGGCATTTGGCTAAGTATAGTGCACAACATAAAGATAGTTTTTGAAGAGAATGCAATTCAAATTTTAAGGTAGTTGTTATGGTTTACCTCCACTCTGTTCTACCTTAGCATTTTGTCTTTCTTTTGTCATGTATAAATGCCTGGATCTAGGGATCACTTTCGATCCATGTATTCTCTTCGTTTAAATTTCTATATTTTTTTTCATTTTTCAGATCATCTTCCTTTTGTTCAGGGGTGTAAATAAACAGAGAATTTGGTGAACTTTTCGTAAACCGTTTGTATAATATACATTTATGTTCATTTGTTAAGCTAAAAAAAATGAATATGAACAAATTTTTTATGCTCTTTTAATAAACGAATGAATACGAAAAAATGTGTGTTCGATTTGTTTATATTCATGAACAAACTCATTTGTAAACTCATTCGTTTATATTCATTAACAAGATCATTTGTAAACTCATTTATTTTGTACATTTTAAATATTGGTGAATGTAGAACTAAATACACAAATTGTGAAATTTGAAATTTAAACTATAAAGCTTAAGGAATTTAAGCACCAGCAGTACAATTTCACCATTGTTTTAGCTTGCAAATAAACAAATTCACAAAAATATAAATAAATATGTTTGTGAACGTTAAATAAACAAGTTCACAAACACATAAATGAACATGTTCAAGAACATTAAACAAACATATTCATGAACGCTAAACGAACGAGCATGAATACCTTCAAAAATAAATAAACGAACACGATATTAAAAATTTAAACAAACGTGAACCAAACATAAACACCTTTAAAAATAAACAAACGAACACCAGCATAATAACGTTCATTTACACTACTTTTGTCCCCTTAAATAGGCTAATTATGCCTCAGTCCATGTACTTAGATCTTGTGTTTTAATTCCTGAGATTCAATCGTTCAAAGTCCAATTGATAACATTGTTAATACACTTTCAATGAATTTTGAATAAGCGACATTCTAATATTCAGAGGTGTAATGAAAATTAAAGTTCAACTGATCAAATATATATATATGCAAAAATCAATAAAGAAAGTTACCGGTCGGACTTCAATTTTTAAATCAGACAAGAGGACCAAACTCTAAGAATTAAAAGAAATAGGACTAAATTTTAAACTGAATTGAAAGAACTACAATGCATAGGGAAACCGAGGGCATAATTTGAACTTGAATATTAAAAAATATATAAAAAGGGGGTTCAAAAGTTCAATGTAAAATACCATGCAGTTCACGTAGTTTGTCCCTGTGGTTCCTTCCATAACTCATTTGACATTGAAGCAACAGTAGAGAAGAGGGAAAACAATGATATTCCGCGATCACATAGAACATGTCAATAAATCAGATGATTCCATAACCGTACATTAACGTGTTATCAAATCTCGAAAAGAGAACTATTTAAACCAAATGCGGGATTTAATCAACTCATACAATCACCTGTAACCTAATTTATAAATGGTGAAGCTGTTTAAACTTCAAATCTAAAATGTATTATAGAAGCAATGGATTACGTACAAGCAGAAGCAATAAGCACAGCGCCTGAGGCTTGCAAAGAATAACACAGCACACACCTCACTGTTTTAGTGGGAAAGACCATGATTAAAGAGGAAGCTAAAAAACTTGCTCACGATTGCCAATATACATAATTACATTTTGTACAAAACTTACCACCGGATCCGGTTCCGGCGGGAAAGAATGTGTGATGGATTTGCTTAACTGTACACCTGGAACAAGCAGATTACCGTAAAAGGGACAAAAATCAGGCATTGCACAATTCATGAAATTGGCTAGTAAATACTACTAACGATGTATGAGTTTGATATAGGGTGGGGACAGCAACTTAACTAGTGGCTGTGCATAACCGATTGCAATAGCATGTTCACAATAAAGAATAATTACAGTAATATGCATGCTCAACTGTAAATGGGACAGCAACTTAACTAGTGACTGCGTAACCGATTAAAATAGCATGCTCACAATAAAGAATAATTACAGCAATATGCATGCTCAACTGTAAATGGGACAGCAACTTAACTAGTGACTGCGTAACCGATTACAATAGCATGTTCACAATAAAGAATAATTACAGTAATATGCATGCTCAACTGTAAATGGGACAGCACATGTTCACAATAAAGAATAATTACAGTAATATGCATGCTCAACTGTAAATGGGACAGCCTTTAAACACCAAAGAGAATGCATTACAATATATTGTAGGGTTGGATAAAGAGGCTCGCTAAACTTACATAAAAGCCAAACCCTCGCCAGGTAAAAATCGAGGTATGTGACAATATCCTGTTCTCGTTGAAGAAATAACACCCTCCGATCTATCACAATGATCCTGAGTATCAATACCATAGGTAAAAATATGAGAAAAAAAAAGTATCTGCAAATTTCTTTTGATGCACAATTGATAACCATAGATAAAAATTTCAACTGTGGAGCAAATACATGTAAAATACCAGAACTGACACTGTTGGTAACAAGATTAATTAGGATCCTGCGGCAGGGTGGGACCGAAATATTTCTGCATTGCCTCTTTCTTAAGCTCAGGATCAAGGCTGCAAGCAAAGATACCATAGTCATTCATTCCTGAATAAAAATGTAGCTTGGAAATCATTTTGTTAGAACAACTAAAAAGAAAGAAAAGAATAAATGATAAAGGGGGGCAGAATGGGTTTTATACGAAGGGGAGATGAAAAAAACATAATGGATTTATATCAAGCTGAATTTCAGTCTGAATATTTTAACATGTATCTGAGAATTAAAGATAAGAATTGGCGAAACATATAAGTTCCTTTATTCTCTTCTGCATGATTACAGAAGCAAAAAAATGGTTGGGCTGCTCCAATATTTGAGAAAACTGCAATGATTTATGAAAATTGAGGACAAATAAATTTGTCTTTCGGGTATAACATTCATACTGATGGAACTTCAAAGAAATCTTACAATTAAGGAAGTTCAGATTAGAATATATATCTTAAGAGTATTTTGAAACACTATTTTGAAAAGCTTAGCCAACTAAATTGGTTGATTAATCGAGAAGCTGAAGAAAGGGGGATTGCATGAAGAGACATGGAAAGAGCTATGTTTGACATAATCCTTGATAAATTACCTATTTCTGATTCCAAGGAGAGTAGAGTGTATTGCACTTGCACAGCCAGATGCTGGAGCTATAGCAGCAGTAGGAACTGCCTTAACAGCTGTTGCCAATGCTGAACTTGCACTGGCCCCACGTTGATATTTTTTCAAAGGTGTCTGAACTAAAGCCGATGCAGATCTCCCAAGCCCATTACTGAAGCTCTGATAAGCCTGCCAAATTTTGACAATCAAAACTTTGGAAATATAATTTACACTGAAGATTTATTTCAACACTGAAGACAAGTATCTAGTAATGCTCACCTGTTGAATTCCTTGTTGGGAATCTTTAGGCTGATTATGCCTCACATTTGTCTTTGTCTTTGTCTTGCCTTGTGAGGGCCGTGATACAGGAGGACTATTTGTCAGCATATACTCAGTCTGAAGCAGAAAGTCACGAGTCCCGGCTGCCAAATGCACACCAAGTCTAACAGCTTCAAGTGATATACTTCGAAGGAATGCCATTGTACCTGAAAAGTACATCTTAGGTTGCATACAAGGTCATACCAAATGTAACCACACAAGATCAAACAAATTTTGCATATGCAACCTACCTCTTTGCATTCCCTTTAGTACCCTCTGATCTTTCCTATAGCTCTCGAGTGGCAAGGAAACTAGCTTTGCAGCAGCAGCACCAACAGAAACCAAAGATGGGATGGTAGGAAGGCCACACAATACTTTATGAATCTATGTCATGAAAAAGAAGGGGCATATTATGAATAAACATTTACAAGATGCCGAGCAAAATTCTCTCAATAAAATTCAGAATGCTGGTAAACCTGATTTTGAGAAATATCTTCCAACCACTGCCCAATAATTGTTTCACAAACGCTGCCCCAACCATAGACACCAATAGCATGAACATGTTTAAGTTCTAGCTCAACTCCCTGTATCAAAATCTTATTTCAATAAGATAAAGACATGCCAATCACATAAACTTATGCAATAGAAAGTCTATGTGCATGTATGAGCGAAAGAGAGAATGCACAACATTTTAGACTGCAGGTGTAAGTTCAAATCATGAGAGAGTCATTATAGGGATATCACCATTGAAAAACATGTCAATGCAATAAGCAACAGCAGTAACATCAAATCAACACAGAAAATGCATAATCTAGGCAACTTGTTTAAGAACTCGAGTAGGAGACTTAATCAGTTAGCAACAGATTTGAGAACAAAAACATTGTTAATCGGTTGGAAACTTATTTAGGAACATGTGATTTATCTGGGCAGCAGCCGGGAGTAGTATGAGATGTACACATGACAAATAAAAAGACTAATCTAACAAAAAGCCAGGTAGAATGAAAAACCCATGACAGTGTTTTAACTAAGAAGAAATAAACAAATGGAAATAGAAATTTAAAAGCAGTTCTCTTGAGATTAATAAATATTATTTATAGGATAATAAAAAGCAATGACACTACATAAGTGGAACGTCTAGTATGTGTTTGGAACAGTAACAAACTAGAATAGGAGACTTAATAGGAGCATAACAGAAATCATAACAAAATGCCATTGAAATCATGCATACTTAATTCTCATACTTTATTCATCGTTTAATTACAAGATGCAAATTATACAAACAATAAAAAAGCCAAAAAAGAAAAAAAAATGGCAGTATCAAATTCAGCATTGGGACTTGCATAATGAATTAGCGGAAAAATGGCAAGAGGAAACAGTTCACCTTCCATGGAACAATGTTTACAAGTTCCGCATATTTACCACCTTTCAGTGCTGCTAGATCAACATGTTGGGGACTATAGTCCACTCGAACAAGAATAGGCCAAATATCAAACTTCTGAAACAAAATTCCCTCAATCAGTACAGTAACTTAAGTAGACAAATTAATAATCCAACAAATAAACTCAAGCCATACTGCTCAAATATTATCCAACAATAATATCATATATTGACCCTGAAGCCTAACGTGTTCAAAAATGTCCATACCAGAAGAGTACCAGAACACAAATCATGCCAAAAGGAGAAAAGACAGGAAAGAAATAAGTCTTGCCAACTATCCTACCATAACTAGAATCATATGATAATAACTGTTCATAAGTTTGGACCAAATGAGCAATTGCCACACCAAGAAGTCAACACTCCAGAAAGAGAAAAAAAGGATGGGGCATGCAGATCCAAGTTAAACATAAATAAAAATATGCAATAAAAATACAAATTAATTCACACTTGCCTGAAAATAAGGGAGCAATGCCTCATCTGCAATGGCATGTCCAGCAAGATAATGGCTCCTCATTACCAACAAATCAGAATCTGGAGGGCAACTTGTAGACTGGTTAAGCGATGAGCTTTTTTCACCAAAAAACCTGACGAGAAAGTCAAGTTGGCTTTGATGAAGATGTAACCGCATAGGCAGGAGAGCAACGCGCAGCCTGCAAGTAAAAAAAGCAACAACAAAGTTAGTTCATCAAAAGCAAGCAACAGAATTCAGAAACAGATATAAGACAAGCAGAATAGTGACAAGAAAGAATAATTTTTACTTCATTTATAGATTGCATCAAACATGAAAATAATTACAGAGAAACCTGTGTGGCAGCCACAACAATTTGATGATGCAAACTTTTTATTTCTGAATATAAATAGTAAGCAGAGCAAGGCTTCAACAAAAATGAAGCTAAAATCTCAAAAACACAACTTTATAGAAGATAAAATGTTTACTACCTAGTACAATATGTAAAACAGCATGAGGCAGTTATTTAGGTTCCAATCAGGTCAAAATCTAACAATCTGAGCAGATAAGACCTAGACCCATGAGTGAAACCATTCTAAAACCTGGAACTGTGAAAAGCATAATGGCCAATTCTACTAGAATACCAGTGCTCCCCTATCTAGAAACGACCAACTGAAATGAATTAAATGGTGTAGGTTATGCATATGGATAGCACTTTTCATGGAAAGGACCACACAATCTCCCTCACTGGTTGTGGAACCCTCAGAGAGCAAAGAAGATTCAGTGCTAATTTTCATTTAGTTAGAAAAATATATACAAAGCAGAAAGAATACCGGTATTCCTCAAGAGGTGTAAAAGGATCTGGTCTGACAGCTTCTAGGTCCAGTTTGAATGCCTTTGAATAGGATTCCCTAGGATGATCTTTTGAATCATAGTATCTTAGCACCTACAAGTTAAGGATTGGAGAAATTCAAAATTTTGTTCATACAGGAGAGGTAAGGAATAAGTAATACAAGAAGTAAAACAGTAATTTGAACATTACCAGCTTCCAAGGTGCGTCGGTGCTCTTGTCATAAAGATGAAAATCATGGACTGAAAGAGAGAGCTTAGACACAGATACTCCACCAGGTGTGAATATGTCATAATGAAACTCCATCCTAGATACTGCAAGCTCTAGACATACAGTTCTATCCCTTCCAAGAATATTACTGGACTGCATATTACTCATTATTGCTTTGCGCCAGTCAGACCCAGCATACATTCTCCATCTTATATTAATGTTCTTAAGGAGTACACGTCCTATGATGTTTACTGTATCATCAGGTTCACCAGAGTCATGATACAAAAGCCTGTCTTCCACAAATGATTTCAGGCCAGCTCTTCCACTTGGTTCTGAAATGTGATTTTCAACAATTTTTAAAGAAGCATCTTCATACCATCCACTATTCCCTCTTCCAAGATCTCCCTCCCCAACATGTAGGGATCTACATTTCAGGACCTCATGGGAAGATTTTAGTCCTGTAGGTAATTCTGTAAGGGGGCGTAACTCAGGTAAACAGTAACTTTCTATTAGTTCTGGGAAGTAACCTTGTTCTAGAAAGGAAGCTTGACTACTTTGGAGACCTATTCCATTAACAGGTAGCTCGTGAGAAAACATCTCCGCATTTTCAAAGCTTAAGCTACAAGGTTCTTCAGCAACATTTTCCTTGACGGGTAGGTGAAACTGTACCTCAGAAGAACCAATCTGGAAGGTCTCATTTCCATCCAAGGAAAATGCATCTTCAGATATCTCATCCATCAAGCCAGCCACCCCACATTTAGCCTCTAACTCTGCAGTCACAGTATGAATTTCAGAAGTTGATGGAGCTCTATTTTTCTCATCATTCCTCTGTTGTTCCATCTGAAAATTATTCCACCGTGTTTGTAAGTGCACGATAGACTCCTCCACATCAGGGGCAAATAACTGCTGGAGTTGAGCAGCCAAGCGAATCAAGCCAGATGTGGTGTCGTGGCAGGTTTCCACATAAATTTGAGAATTTGAACACTCTACCGTCCAGAGAAGGCCGTTGGCACAGCTAGTTTTTACAACAGCTTCAATTAGTGCCTCCCGAGCAACTTTGACATAACCTCCCCGATTAAGTTGTTCGGCACTATAAGTACCCCCAAGTTTGTCACACTCAGAAACTGCACGAAGAAGAAAACCGAGATCTTGTAATCTTATTCTAAATTCATTGCCTAGAGAATCTGCCACTGTTGAATTTGAAAGACAGAAGGAAGATGCAGCAATCAGACAAGCTACATAAGGTTCAGATGTGTCGTCTTTGGCATCTGAAGAAACAGAATCTGAATCTAGAACTTCACTATGAACAGCCAAGTTGTTTAACTGGGGTTCATAACTCAATCCAATATCAACCAATTTAAGAACAAAGGAAGATCTATGAGCGGGTTTGTCTAAATCTCCATTTGGTAAATTATGCTCAACAAATTGTTCGGGATCCACTGACGGCAAACTGAAAAAGGAGCAGATCACACCCATCCAATCTAAACGACCACCTACGGCAACAATTGTGCAGCACCTCACAGTTATAGATGTAAAATCTTGGAAGCTCTCTGGCTCCCAGAAGTTTACAATATCTGAACCAGCTAACCTAGAAGATAAAGCATTTGAACCTCCTCCATCACCACGTTTCATTGCAGAATCACTACATGAGATTAAAAGAAACTCCTGATCTTGATCCCCAGAGACTGAACCCGATAACGTACCTTCACTGTGGGTTAACCATAGAAAACTAGAACCCCTAATATCACCAACATTTGAGACAGATAGCAAATCAAATTTCTGTATGTTCAGTTTCAGACAACCCCATGAACCTGGAAGTTCACTCCGCATAGGAGCTTTCACATTTTCTTCATCATCTGGTTTTACAGAAATTTCTACAGAATCACATTCCAGAAGAACTGATGTTTGAGAAATTGAATCCTCTTCTTTGGTACCAGTTACATCACACGAGAAACACGATAATCCAGTAATAATCTGCTTTAAAAGATTATGCAAGCCAATATACTGTAAACTGTCTAGATCAACCATAACAGATGACAGATGAATGTGTGCAAAGCATGTGGTGCTAAAAATTATCTCCTGGCGGGTTTGAGCACTTATATCATCAAGATCTTTCACAGTAGTAACAGTGGCAAACTCATAACCTTTTCCCATGGATTTATTTCCGCTCCTGCTTTCTTCTGGAGTAGCTAAGAACTTGGCTTTCTCTGCTATCCAAGGGCCAGTCACATGACCTTCCTGCCAAAAGACACTAATGAAAGAAAGACACCCAGTCCTGTTGCTGACTGAAAGAATCTTTTGAGAAGAAAATTTATGCCTCTGAATACTACCATAATCAATTCCACTACCATCTTTCTGTGCAGTTATTACTGAGTACAAGGAAAGATAAACAAAGTTCAGGTGCAAAGAACGAGTGCCAGACGAGGGGAATTGTTTTTGCAAACTCCCATCAAGATGTGGACTACTGTCTTGCATTTCACCCTTTGATGGTAAAGGTGAAGAAAGATCAAGAACAATGAATTGATCCCATGAAGGGTATCCACCATCATCTTCATCACTCTTAAAAGGGAAACACAGAATTATTCTTGCATTGGAGATTGATATGTTACCCCGCAACATTTCTGCTGAAGAAGAGTTTGTAATGCAAGAGCCAGAAATTATTTTCACATGAGAATGAGATGATTCAAACTTCTCATAGGAAGCATCATATGAAACTTTTCGCTTATTATTACCCATTTCAGTAGATTTTCCAACTTCCTTCAAGAGATCTGATAACATCTTTAACAAGGAGAAGCTAAACCAAAAAGTAAGAGGTGGCAGTTTCAGAGAAAAAGATGTCTGCCCTGAAAAACTACCACCAGATGAACTAGACCTCACAGTACATTGGCAGTGAGTGACCCCAGAGGTTGTAAACAACATAATTTTGACCATATCACCCTCGTCCCTGAGTGAAAAATCTGTAGAAACTAACTCACCAAATACATCTGGTGATCGATCTCCAGTAGATGGGGAAAACAGAGGAAGAGCATGTTGAACTTCATCTTGCATATTTTTTATTGAAAAGGTTTTACTGTCAACGTTATTGCCACAATCTCCTCCGTCCTTACGGCAGAAATAATCAGCAGCTTCAATATGCACCATTGTTCCTTCAAACCTCATTTCTTGAGGACATACCTGTTGAACATATGCATATTTCAAATTAGAGTAGATATGTCATGAAGAACAGACCTAAAATTATGTTTCGAAAAAAGGAGGGAGGAGGAAAGGAATTCTCTAAGCAAAATATTACCTGCACAAGAACAGAGATATCCCTGCATTCTATGCCCAAATAATGAATGCTGGAACTGGCATGTACTAGATCACACAGATGATCCAGGTTTTCGTCATGAAAGGACAACACAATAAAAATTCCAGCGAAGGATGCTTTAAGATTAGTTTGAGCGTGCTGCTGTTCTGTTTAGAAACAAGGGAAAGTACATGTCAAACAAAATTACAAGTGTCAAAGACCGAAACGATTGTTTAAGAGGAACAACAAAACAACATGGATCAAATTATGCTCTTAAGCACTATTTATGACCATTTGTGGGCACCAAGATTAAATCTCAAATCATGCTCGAAGTGCATTAATATCTTCTACATGTTAACCAAAGGTCTTACTTTCAAACACCAACAAGCATTGTTGATTGATCAAAACAGGAAGTACAAAACCCTAACTTATTTGGCACTTTCTTTTCCTGCAAAGAACTATGAATTAAATCCCTTCAACCTGTTCTAAAAGAATTGAATTTCAATCAAGCATAACCAAAGATGAAAACAGAGAACATACCAGAAGGAATTTGTAAAGATCCAGATGCAAGGCTGGATGCAGCAGTTATTGCACTGAAAACTGAGCATGTCCAGTTCCACATTCCACTACTTCCCAAAGCTGATTGTGAATTTCTCATTCCATCAAAACACTCAAAAAATTGGTCCACGCTATTAAGAGACCGGAAATTCAACAGGTTAGAAGAATTACATTGGAAAAGAATATAATGCATGATCTTAGAAGGTTAGTTTCAGTATTAGTTCTCCTGCACTCCTACTTCATATGCAGTAATAACAGAAGCAGAACCATTGAAACAAGTTTAAAATAATGTTCCACTTCATGCTCATTTATAAATTTTAAGAAATGATTTGTCAAGAAATCAGGTTTAGATTCTAATTCAAATTCTTAAGACTGATTTTTTTATTTTTATTTTTAAGTAATAGATAAACAGGGAACATGTAGAACAACGACTGTAAATACAGCAAGCAAGCTAGTGGTGTTCTTTCCTTTGGTATTCTCTAAATTTTCTTTCTTGTAGATATGATATGTAGGTTGCTAAATAAAATCTTAGAAGCTTATGATATAAGTTCCTAACATGCCCCTTTCAGAAAAACTATGCATAAAATTCAAGTATGCAGAATCTGAGACCAACCTTGCACCAAAGTCAACTTCTTCTCCAACATCCTGCTTGTTTTTTCCAACAGAAATTGGTACCCAATTAGGAATAAAATGTGAACCGGGTAACCCAGTTTCATCAACAGATTCTCGCACGTTCAAGGAAGTACAGCCTGCAGAAAATCTTCCCTGATTTTTTGTAACTTTATCACTGACAGTCATGGCAGATGCTGATGATTGGAATTGAGAATTAGAATTCAAGTATACAGAGTCTGTTGTCTCACAGTGCATACTATTCTTCCCAACCTTGTCAAAGTTCTTGAAAGTTTCCCATGAAAGTAACAACCATTTAATTATGCTAGGTTGAAATCTTAAATCTACTGGATCAATAGAAACATCTGCATCCACCTTGCGAATGTCCAAGGATCCGTTCTTCCAAGGAATGCTAAGCTTCAAATTCCCTGAAAATCCACCACCTTTCCCTGACATGATTGGAATAGCAGCATTTGGTGGAGAACAATATGAATACAATCCCGAAAAAGGCATTCCTGAAGCGTGTGAAGCACAAGATTGATCGTCAACATCCTCCATCTGAAGAAGCTCAAGTGCAGCTCCATGGAATTTAACAAAGTTTGTAAGTTGGCTAATTCCAAGAAAACTGTGAGCTCTACCTTCACCACCTAAACCAGCATCTTCAGAAACACAAGTTCCGCATTCTGTTTCTGATATCCGAAGCACAAAAGTCCTATGGAAGCCCAGTTTTTCAACATTCTCTAGAGATGGATCAAATGCAACTATTAACCTTTTAATCTTCACGTTAAAGCTTGTAAGAAACCATTTTACCATCTTTGCAATTGTCTTTACACCTTCATGTACATTTTCAGGATTCCTCGGACTTCCTTCCATTTCGTTAGAAAATTTCCCCAAGTCGCTGCAATTATAATAGTTACCATCATTATTGGAACTACAATGTTCATCTGCTCTAGATAAATGATCATTCTCCATGCAAGGAGCAAGCAACAGCTCAAGTTCATCAACCTCAACTTGACATCCTTTACCCTTCCAAGGCATTTTAACTAATAATGATCCAATAGACCCCTCTTTTATAACCAAAGATGCTGCTGGACCAATCTGGAAATTGAAAGCATAAACAACAATATAACCATAAGAAAGAAATTGTATACTAAAAAAAAAAGATACATATAAGAATATTGCCCTTAGTTAAACTATATTTCATTAATATCCTTACCAGGAACCCTAATTATAAAGTTGCACTAAAAAACCTAGAGCCCCATGTGTCTATGACATACAACTGGCAACGGAGTACTAAAAAAAATTAAAAGATATATGAGGATATCGCCCTTGGTTATACTATATTTAATTAATAACCTTACCAAGAAACTCCTGTTACAAAACTCAAAACCTAGAGCCTCCTTGTCTATGACATATAACTTGCACCCTACTACTCTTACAATATTGCTACTTCTATCTAAAAGAGATACCGTGTGAGTGCTTTGCTCCACTGATCTTCATTTTCAATTATTTATCCACCAGAATAGATAATCAACCGTAGCACCTAATGTAAAATTTAAGAGCACTGTTTATAAATTTTAAGAGCTGAAATATTCACCCGTAGCAATTTTACCAATAAAAATAACACATAATCTAAAGCTTAAATCATAATCAAGCATTTTTACTCTTCGGATTCATTAGAAGTTCAAACTTGAACTGAACCGAATTTAAAAAACAAAGAAAGAAAGAATACAAGGCGTGCCTTCTGGTTAAGATAATCGACGTTGAGGGCGAGGTCAGAGAGATGGATGGTCCCCTCTGCGAGCTGAACATCGAGTTGGTCCAAATCAATATCTCCCAAGATAAACTGCCCAAGTTTCTTCTTCAATAGAAACTTAAACACCCTCTTCACCGCCCACCGGGAAACCACTGCCTCAGCTGATTTCGCAATATTATTCCACGCGCCAAACATCTTGTCCTTCCTCTATTCGCTGCCTTTCTCAATCCGAATTCGCAAGCGAATTGGAGAATACGAGAGAATCTAAATTTTCTTTTCCTTTTTTTTTTTTGCTTCGGTTTGAGTTCTAGGGTAAAATTAGGGTTTGGAAACTGTAAATTCTACGGCGGTGATGGAAGATTATGACTTCCATCTAAGGCGCGAAAGCGAAGAGAACGAGAGGGAATTGGAGATTATTGCCACCTTACGAAAAAAAACGCAGAAAGGATCTTCAATTCAAAGAGATTTGATTGAATTCGGATGAAATTGAACTACTTTTCCTTATGGTTTGTAAGCTGTTTGAGAATCGGAGACGTACCTGTCGCTTTTAGTCCTTGTAATTTGTAAAATCCAGCTGTTTTATTATAATTTGGGTAATTTTCTAGGGGTTAATATCTATAAAAGGTCCCTATACTTTTATGAATTTAATACCCTATATTATAATTTGATCAATTTTTGAAATGTAATTTTTTCACTTTGGGGTAACTCTTTGGTTTATTTTTTCAATTAATTTTACATATTTTATTAAAATATATGATGATATCATATATACTTTGATATTTTTATAATTAAAAAATGAATAAGAATTTTGATCTTACAATTAAAAATATACATTTTAAATAGTAAAATATTGAAAATGGACAAAATTCCTCACAAATGCCCTCGTGAATTATTTGCTGAAGTAGGACGATTATTATAATGCCACTTGAAAGACATCGGAAACACAATGTGTCTTTAGTTTTCCTGAGAAAGACGCATGGACCACAATGTGTCTTCCTTCTATACCTTGTATGGTTCTACCTCTGTCTCGTCCATGCATCTTTCTCGCGAGAACTGAAGACGTGTTATGATCTCCACATCGTGTTGAAGACGCATTGTGCTCCTTGTGTCTTTCAGGTTATTGTTCAAAACACCCTACTTAAGAAAATAATTATCGACATGATTAAATTATATATATAAATATCAAATTACATAGTAAAAGAATTAAATCTAAAAAAAATACATGTATATAGCCTTTTATAAAATTTAACCTTATTTGTGCTTAAATTCGAAACCACAGTTGAAGTTGCGCGTAAAATTTAGATTTTATAATGGTGCGGTGTTCATTTTATAATAAAATCAAAAGTTTGATATTTATTTTTGTAAATTTTAAAATTTTGGTTCATAAAAATATCATTTTAAAATAGTTTAGTGACCATTTATGAACTTTACCCAAATGTATTATATACAAAAATAGCAACTTATACAGTTTAGCGACAATGTAATCTTTCGTCGCTTTTTATTTGGCATTTTGCAACGAAAGTACTCATCTCCTCCTTTAGGCGTTATTTTAGCAAAGCCAAATAGACATACAGCGACGGTAAAAAAAAGAAACGTCCTTTAAAGTTAAATGCAGGAATCTTTTACTCCTTGTCAGCTTTGCTTCTAAAGAAAGGATTCTTTCAGGATGCTTTGAGCTTTTATCATTGTATTAATAGATAATTTTATAATTTATGAAGGACCAAACACCAATTTTACCATTGTGATGCTGCCATTGCTAAGTTTTATAGCTTTATTTCGAGTTAATCTCCTTGCTGTGGAATATATATATATAGATATATAATAGTTTAAATACAGCCATGCATAAGAAAATACAACTATTCAACGCCATTGAAGTCCTATATATGCTTACATGAACGGGTACACTTTGGATGACACAAACATATCAGGGAAAACATTAAACTATATCTCTTGGGGAAACTTTGAAACAATGAGATATCCTATGGTCACCATGGGGCAGTAACCTCTTCCTGAAACATAAGCTCTTGCTTCTCGGAATTCGCCTTCAGGGTTTCTATATCGGTATCGAGCTTACGCATGGCATCTTTGAGTTTTGCAAGCTTCAGTCCAAGGGAGTTTTTCTCTTCTTTCATGCGTGTATGCTCCGGACTTGCTTCATACTTCTCCGTAATTGTAGCCTCCTGTGATTCCAAGGCAAGGGTATTCAGCCGGTTCAATCTAGTTCAAAGGAATCCGACGTTCATGCCTAATAGCTCGAAGCCTTTCAGGGTCTTGTCCCAGAGCATATAGTCCATTCGGTGGAAATTTTGCACGCTCTAATAGCTTCTGCAATGATAATAGTCTCCATAATTATTTCAGCTGCCAATTTACTGCTAATACTCTTGAGAAGATGATCATGGAGAAATTAGTTCTGGCTGCAACAAAGCTCGTAGTACTTAGTTCTATGGTACTCTGAAAGCTCGGAGTCTATTCTCGAACCGTCCACTAAAACGATGAAGTTGTCAATGCTTTTGATCTCTTTGAAATCAATGGCAGATGCCAAACATCTGATACCATCATCGTGACCATAGCTAGGATATCATATTGATTGACTAAAGGGTCACTATTGGTGTCTAATACTATCATACTGTTATTTTCAACATTGTCATCTGGAAGAAGATCCAAACGCTTGACCCTCTTAGAGGGTCTCTTTGTCTGCTTCATGCGAACTTTTATTGTTGTTTCAAGTTCAACATTCCCGGAAGAAAAAAGGCGAACGCAATTGGAACAACAATATTAGGGAACTTTCAACTTATTAAAAGGAAAAAAAAGTGGGGAAAGAAGAAATGAGAAGTTTAAAGAGAACATACTTGAGCGAACCGGTTTCGCATGAATATTCACATCTAGTGAACCAAAAGATCTATCTACTTTGTTTAATTCGAATACTCTGACCATGTAAACCTACAAGAAAGTAATGAAAACAATATGTTTGTGATGGCAATAAAGAGATTTCTTCATGTGTTAAAACTTATGAAGTAAGGCTCTAAATCAAATAGTACCTTAAACTTCAAAGAACTGACCAAATGGAAAATCAGGACATCCCCTTCGACTAATTTATGATTAGCCGAGAATGATTTCCATCCGGCACTCAATGCTGTTCTTTGTGCAATATAAAATGCTATACATTCTTCCCCATTTTCGTCTTCCAAAGCTACTGTTGTATCTTGCTTGGGCATACGCAATTTGCAGAAAGGCATAGGAAGATGTTGTCACCATAAGACTAAAGAGTTAGAACTTTGGAAAGGCTTTCTTGCACGATTGATATAATTCTGAATTGGCTATTTGGCTTGCAAACATATTTCACGCTTACCAGCCAAAATCCATGGGTAACGTTCGAGCGAACCATGGTCTTGATACAGCTCGGGAATCTGCTCGCTAGATTTGCATTAATCTCCTCCACTCGTTCCATAACATTAGGCTTGACATGATCAAAGATTATCATTTTTAGCTCTCTCTTATTAGCAGCATTTCATGAGTTAACACTAGCCAAATCCTAACCGAGACTTGAAACGATATCACTAATCCTAATCGAGACTAGCATTTGAAATTACAGTGCAGAACCCAATCAAGATGCTTTAAAAAAACTGGGAAGAAGGTCATTTAAGCTTGTAGCTGACCGTTAATACTTAATAGACATATAAATAGGCTCAATGTTAAACTCGTTTTTACTTGACAACAACTATCAAGAATCCATACCAAGTGTGAAAACTATCTCGATGCTCCTTAATCCTGAGGTCCCAGGTGAGCTCACTAGTGTGACACCGACACGGTTATCTGGCAACCGGAAAGGGAAAAAGGAAAACCTATTGCGGAAAACCAGGAAATGGCTACCGGAGTTCCCATATGTCAGTAGACATCAGCTACCTTAGCAACTAAAGTCTAAAGGGCTTCGACACATCCTAAGAAAGATATTCGATCCTGTGTGGTTTCAACAACAAGAAACTGGTTAAATCTAAAGCTAACCAGAGTTAGATTTGTTCCTCAGAGAGTCCTGATGTGGAACAGATAACCCAGAAATCATCTGCACGTACGATTTCTTGGGGGCACATTATTGTCAATCTCCCTAGCTATTCAAAACAATTCGGGAACCCCAAACCCTGTAAATCCCAGAGCTAGAACAAAAAGTGAAAAACAAAAGTAAACCCAGAAATAATTCTTACATAAACCAAACAGGGAAACAACATTCGACAGTTATCTCAGAGCAACAAGTGAAGAAATCATGGCGGAAACAGGGTGTTCTCACTTGTGGGTTAGTTTTATCAGGAGGATCCATCGACATTTCAGAAATCTGGGGCTCCTCTGCCTTGCTTCCCATTGGCTTTCATCAATCTTTGCTTACAACAAACGGATGCACAGTAATCAGTGGCGTGAATCACATATACAAGGGAATAAACAACGGGAAAGCCTTGAAACTGGTGAAATTTACGAACCTGGTACTGTTTTGAAGCTTTCAGGTTTTGTTGGTCTTTCGGGAACGACTGTTTCTTTTGTTGTTTTCTCTCCAAGTTATTCGTTTTGTTCCCGACAGTAAGAAAAGTGAATTATAAGTGGCTTCGATGTGGAGATCTTTATTACATTCTTGATCTTTGCTTTTCTTACACATAATTTCGATTCTTCAGGAAACCTGTCATTGATTCACTAAACATTTATTTTGTATTGGTATTTATGGGTTGATCACGAGTCAAAATATGGAGTTCTGTCTCGAATTTACATTGACACAAAATTTTCATTATTTGTTGCACATGTTTCCATTTTTTTACGTAAAATTATTCTTGTTTTTTATAAATTTTTTGGAGAGTTCTTATATAATTAAAATTTCTAGAAAACATCTTTAGATATAAGAGTATTGTTGGACATAAGATCTTCATATTTTTCGAAATCGATCCGTATGACACGCCAACCGTGACAGCATCCGTCGACCCTTCCACTCCACATGTTGAATAAAATCAAGCATAAGCGAGCATCTCAGATAGATGGTAGGTACATGCTGTGGTGCTCTTGGTTATTATGTTCCGTGTTGTTTGTTGTATGCTCACATCAAGCCCTTCCGAATCATGTATGTTGTGTTGTTTGGTTCGATTCATGATTCGAGTTTTTATAAACATCCTAAAGTACTCGTTTCTCCTCTAGATGGCATCTGCAACGTTAACAATATCGGTGTTTACATCGGCTGCCAGTGTACTGTATATGTTCCTATGGAGATTTGCATGCAGATATGGTTTCTGGGAACAGCAGAGATCACACTATTTCTTCCTACGACAAACCATTCAACAAGAACAGTGAATTTGATTGTACCTCTCTATTCGTTCGAATGAATTCGGCCTTTCCTTCAGGGATGTTCTAATGACTTCCACTTCACCGGAGCCAACATCTACTAAACTGCCATTCTCTCACTGGTTTGCTTAGCTGCTCTGTAATCTGAGGCCAGGGGGTGCATCTGTTTCATCTAAGCCATTCATTCTCACAGTGTATACCTCTTCCAAATTGACAAAACACGAACACAACATTGTTTGTTCAAACTCGGTTCATTTACACCCCTAATATCATGCACCAACCAGATTCATATATGAACCCAGGTTATTCACCAGGCAAGACCCAAAAAAGGACTCAAATCTGGTTTTCTGGTTTTGGGTATTAATTATTTTCCAAATGCATTCAAATCAATTGATAGTTTCATACCCAAATCCTAAAACAAACCCTGGAAAAACCAAAACTATAAGCTGAAGAACATGATATTATATTATGGTTTTTGTTTAGCATGATCCTATACAACCCAGAAACATGAAAAACAATAAGAACAAAGAGCAAAGACCCACAGTAAAGTTGTTGTCCACGTACATACATACCATATGGAGTTGTTGAAGGAGGTGGAAAAGCTGATAAATGGGGACATGGTCATTTTCTTCTTCTTCTTCTTAATCAAATGAACATTCTCCTTCCATTTTCAAGGGCTCCTCTTGTTCTTTAACTTTGATTTCCATGTCGATGTTCATCAATAAGACCAAAAAGCAAACAATCTCTGAGTATTTTTTTACCAAAATGACAAATGATACTGTACTACTAATGAATACCCAAAAACAATGTCACTGTAGTAATCTGTCTATCTGCAACTCTCTACGTTCTCTGCTTTTTTGTACAAGTTTCTGCGAGGGATGCTAATGGCGTGCCCTGCTCTGGCCTGCCTTCTCTATACATGAGTGAGATAGATGTGAGAGGAAATATGAAGGTTGTTTATATTACTATAAATATCAAAATTAAATATTCCATTTAATGAAATTATTGATAAAAATAAATTTGTTTATATATTTATTTGTAATTTAGAAAGGAAAAGCGCAATTAATTAAAAGTGGAGTAAATTATGTATTTAATTAACTAATTATTTTTATGATTTTGTTTCGGTCATTTAACTATTCATGTTGTTTTGTTTTGGTAACCGAACTATTAATTTTTTAAAAAAAATCTAACGTTATGTGTTGATTTTATTTTTGTTGTCCACCGTTAAAAAATTAACAATAATGCTTTTATCAATAGTAAATCAACACTACTGGGACATGCTTCTATTAAGAAAAAGCTTTAGAGTAAATTGCGTATTTAGTTAACGAATTATTCTTACGATTCTATTTTGATCACTCAATTATTCTTCAAATTTTGTTTTAGTCACCTGATTTTTTTCAAAAGAACATATAACGTTACATTTTTATTTCTTTATTATTGTTTGAAAATTAATGATAATTTTTATCAATAGTAAATCAACACTACTGGACATGCTTCTATCAACTAGAGGTTTGTCTCTATCTAAATGTTTATAGAGTTATTTTTCTTTATCTAAATTTTCTCGTATTTCGATAGTTAGATCTATTTTAATTATTTGAATCTAACTAGATCAAAATTCTGTAAATATTCTACTCGGGTTGATTCAACTCAAATTTGAGTTGAATTTAGTAAAATCCAATTCGATTCGATAAGTTCACGAATAATTTATTAATTTTTAACAAGCACGAGTCGAACACAATTCAATTTGTTCGATAAACGCCCTTAGTCGTGATTCAACCTAATTTGTTCAATTATAACGAAAAAATATGACATGAATTATTAATTTTTAAATGTAAATGATTATTTGCTATACATATTACGTAAAATATAATTTATATAATTTTATATATTTAATATTGAATCTTAAATTTTGTATTTTATATATAAGTGAACCCATCGAGCGATCTCGATGGTAAAAAAGAATATTTTTCTATAAATCTCGAATTCGAACAATTCTAAATAGATAATACCTTATAATCATCCTCAAATTATTAAAAAATTATATGAAAGAGTACGAACCAAACGAGACTTCATTGATTAAGAGATTTGTTGTTATCTTTTGAGGTTTCTGGTTTGAACAACGATACATAAATATCCAAAAATGAGATCCGTGATCAAAGAATTCAGAGTTTTTAGACAAATATTATCTTGTATTCATTCCAAAATTATCAAAAGAAAATTATATGAAAGAAACAACATTAAAATGAGCATAATTATATAAATTAAATTTTATAGATTTATATATCAAATAATTGTTTTTGGATTTAAACTCCTGAAAGTACATTTGAGAGTAATAAAAATTTAATATCAAGCCTTTGGAACAGTCAACAAATCATCTCCCTGAAAACACACGTTTGAATATTTTTTTTCGTGCACACCACACAAAGGTGTGAATTGTTCACTTCTTTAACGACCATCGCTATTATTCAGTACATTTTCCTGCCAAGAAACTTGCACCCTTCTTCTGTCACAGTCGTGTATTAATAAAGACGGAAATAAAATAAAAGATTTTCGTATTCCAAAAGGGGAATATTTTCTTAACAGAATATGTAAAATGAGGGTAGTTTTATTGTACGATATTTAATATAAGATTAACAAAAAATATTATTGAAAATATTAATATTTTTAAATATTTTTGGTAGAACGTTATCATAAATGTTAATTTTATTACCTAAAATGAATATTATCAATATTAACATTTTCGGTAGAAAAAATAACATTTAAGAATCGCCAGATATTAATATTTTCAGTAGAAAAAAAAATAACATTTTAGATAACGTTACACCGAAAATATTAAAAAAATATTAACATTTTCGATAACAGTCTTTTCTTAGCATTATATTAAATTACCTTTCCTTATACATCTCTACAAACCGGCAATGATGAAACCAACCAATTTAAAAGAATCAAACCCTTTTTAGTCCCTCCCCATTCTATTATTTTGTTGCCTATTTTTATGCTCCAATCTCAAAATAAAAGGTTATCGTACGCCAAAAGGTTCTTAACAGAGTCTGCAAAATGGGGATAGTTATGATGTAATGTAGTTTAATATAAGATTAATAAAAATTATTATCAAAAATATTAATATTTTTTAATATTTTCGATAGAATATTATCGAAAATGTTAATATTATTTTAACATTTACAGTAGAACGCTACTTAAAATGTTAATATTTTTTAATATTTTCGGTAGAGGACTACCGAAAATATTAATTTCGGTAGAGGGCTATCGAAAATGTTAATTTCGGTAGAGGACTACCGGAAATGTTAATTTCACTACCTAAAATGAATATTTTTTATATTAACATTTTCGGTAGAAAAAATAATATTTTAAGTAATACCCTATCAAAAATGTTAAAAAAATATTAATATTTCCGATAACACATTTTCTTAGCCTTATATTAGATTATCTTCCTTTAGACATACCTGCAAAATGGCAATGATGAAACCAACCCATTTAAAAGAATCAAACCCTTTTTAGTCCCTCCCCATTCTATTGTTTTGTTGCCTATTTCTATGCCCCAAACTCAAAATATTTCACATTCTCGTAAAAGGAAAATTGATCCAATATATTTTATAATTATTAATATTTTATTATTTATTAATTAATCAATTCAAATTGATATTGTAAAATTTTACTATAGAATTATCTACTTAATGTAATCCATTCACAATATAAAAGTTTAAAAAGTTTACATTATTTAAGAGATTTAAAATCAATCTAAATAATAATTTTTGTTACAATTGACATTAAATCTCATATCGATCCTGGAAACTCTCTTTTTTTCTTATAAAATTTAGTTATTTATTTTATAATAATTAAAATTTAATTTTATAAAAAATTATCGGAATTTGATCATCATATTATTAGTAACAACAATTTATATAGAAAAGTTAATAAAAAAATAAGCAGTCCAACGATCTATATAATACATTAATAAAAGAAATCAACTCTCAAATTTATACATTTTCAAAAAAAATTAATAAATTAAAATAAAAAAAATCATTTCTCAATAATTTTCGTATAACAGAGACAATTCTTAAATATTCAAAAAGCATATAGAGTATTCGGAATTTTGGATGAACGTACCAAATTCATGGAAGCTTTGTCCATGTGTTTTCTTTACGATTTGCAGTGCTGAAACTTGTACTGATTGACATGTGTTTTAGGCATTTCGTGTAGAATTGACACTTAAAAAATTCAGGCATAAAGTTAAAATTCTCACAAAAATGACACCTTTCTTCATTCTTTCAGGTGATGCTTATCCTTCTCCAGTGGTCCCCGGCAGGCTGGCACAGGAATTGAACAACTTTACTTTGCTCAAGTTTTCCGATAATCACAGAAAAATTAGATTAAATCTAAGAAATAAGTTAAATTAATACTGTTTTTAATCTATATCAAACTCAGTTACTCGCCCTGTGGAGGATGTTAATGGGAGAAAGAATCAATTCGAATGACGGCAAGAGGAAGCTGAAAGAAAGAAGAACACATTTCCAATAGAACCAAATCCCCATTAATGCTTAGTGGAAATTTAGACAGATACTCAAATTGGGGATAAAAGTTGAGTAACTTTCTTTTCCCAAAAGGATTTTCTAGCCTTTTTTTTCTTCTTTTTACCCAAACAGAAAAAGGTTGCTTTCTTCTTAACTGTACAAATTAAGTGAATACTCACATCAAAACAAACCAACAGTCCCTTCACTTTCATTTGTCTGTCAAATGGCATAAGCCGTTCTACCGCGTGTAACTCTAACCTTTTTCTCTCTCTCTTCTTCTGTGATGATGTTTCAGGGCTTTAAGCGAACCCACTGGTATCGACCGTCGACAGGCATATCCTTGACAATATCATAGTTGTACCTGCAAATAATAATAATAATAATAATAAATGTGGTGCAAAAATTATATAAAAAATGAAGTTTGTTACTTAGAGACTGGGGTTTCCTGATTCTAATAATGCTAAAGTGCGACATTCCTTATCCTACGCACACTTACTTCTCAGTGAATCGTTTTTGCTCGTACTTTTCGTTGACGGAGAAGAACTCGTCGATCTCCGCTTGCGACGGCGTTTTCGGCTTCTGCTTAGCTGGTGATGATAGCGGATTTTTCTCCCGCGATTCCATTTCCTCTGACTCTCCACTGAGCTCGCTTGATAATGGCGTTGTTTCCCTACTGAAATAAGATAGATGAAATTATGATAATGAAGAGTATAAAACGGTGAGTTGACGATTCGGCTGTTCTTGACTTTTTGAAGGAAAAATGACGAGTCATTATTGAAGGAAATTGTGAAAATTAACCTGAATTTGTTAATGTTGATGCGCGTTGAGATTTCAGTTTCCAAACTCTTGGCCTGCAAAAGCACATTCATGAACTATAGTCAGGAAACTAATTAGTGTATCTAATAGTAATAACTAATAATTATTAAAAAAACGATCGTTAAAAGCTCATAGGAAACGGTTCTTTTTCTTAGTTTCCTTTGTAAGCGTGTTCTTTTTTTTCCCTCAGTGACCAAACGGGAGAACAAAAGAAAAATGCAGAAGAAAAACAAAACGGAAATTCGAACTTCACCTCTAGATCTACGAATCTCAAGCTATCCTTCACGATACCACATGACTCATTACCATAACAACGAGGGAAAGAAGACACGCCGGAGCAGAGACGGAAACACCTGTCGCCGCCTCCAGCGGCGAGCACTACACCGGAACTCGAGGAACCAGCAGCAACGGTAATAGCCTCGTTCAGAGAATTTGAGAGGAAACGAGGTTCTTCGAGCTCAATGTCCGGTGAAGTTAATTCCAATTCCTGCAATTCTCGCGTACTCTTTCTTCTCTTCGTTAACAAGAACCTTGTGTTCGAAACTTCCATCTCCGCTCTTTCTGCACTTCGTTTATAGCTCCCCATACAATCAACTATTTTTGTTCGCTTCTCTGTGTAACTTTTTCCTTCTGAAATTTTGCTCTATTTTTTCCCCTTTTAACTTTGTTTTTCGTTGTGTTTTAACGGAGGGGAGAATGTTAAAAAAGGCAATCAAGTGACGGATGGTTTATCTGCAGCCGTTGATATCTTGGACGGTGGAGATTTTATTTTTATTTTTTTGTACTTTGTTTGTAAATGTATACGTGGTTCTAACTCCGTTATTCTTTAACACTGTGACGGGACAGACTAGCGACATAAATGACGCCCGTTACCGTCTTTGGTCTGCCATTACGTCACCTCTCTACGGCTGGTTGGTGCTGAATTTCTTTATAAAACTACTAGTTGCTAACTCGACCATTATACATTTAAACCTATTTAAATTTATAATATTTTAAATGTTATAAGGTTATTAATTGGATTAAAAGTTAACTCAAGATTAATAATTATATTTAAAAGTCAGATATTTTAAAATATTATAATAATGATATTAATACAATTAAGTCTTAATTAATAATTTAGAGTTATATTTTTAAAAATATTTGATATAGTTATATTTAGAGGTTAATGATTTAACCTCTATAATTAAGAGATTGAGAAAAGATATAGTTCCTAGAAGATTTTGTTATGTGTGAGAGTTTGTAATTTTTTAGACTAAAGATGACAACAAAACAAGAAATAAGAGTTAATTCTGTAGGAGGTCCTCAAATTATAATTTCTATTTTAAATTGATCTATAAACTTTAAAATATTTTATATTAATTTATAAATTATGGCCATAATTTTAAATTAGTTTTTTAATTTTAAAATATTCTATAATAATCCTAAAATTATCAAATACTATTTCATTTTGATCCTTACAATAATCTACCATTAACTCTACTGACTTTTGAAGATCTTTGAATTAAACATGTGATCTTATAAAAAAAATTAATATTTTTTAAAGGTCTTGATAATTTTTTAAAATTTCATGTATTAAATTCTCAAGACACTTCAAAAACATATTAAATTTCTTGTCCAATAGAATTAACAACACGTTAAAAGATGGATAAAAATGGAATGATACTATTAATAATTTTCGAAGTGATATAAAATATTTTAAAGTTTAGGGATCAATTTAAAATGAGGCCATGATTTGACCTAGATAATTTAAATATGTTTTGTATCAGAGATGGACTGAGAAGAGCTGACAGGGGAGGCCATCTTCCGTAAAACTTTAAATTCTAATATAAGCTAGATGTTTTTTTCCCGATAATTTGTATTCACCTTTTAAAATTTTATAAGTTTACCCTCTAATATAGAATCTTGCATCTGTTTCTCTCTATATAAAAATCGAACTGACCTAATCGATATGATATTAATAATTTAAATATTGTACATTTTTTACCACCTTTTATGAATCATTTCCTCCTTTAAAATTGAAGTTATTTGATACACCAAGAGTCATGTACTTTGCATCGCAGTGACAAAGGTAGATAAGAACATTGATGCATGCATTGAAACGCCCCCCATATGCACCTGCAAGTCGCTACGACAGGATCAGAGACATGGTTCACAGTTGACAAATGGGTAGGTTTTAGTTATGATGAAAGAATCACAATATATGAATATATGTTTGTATGTATGAAATGAACTCTTTTGGGTTGGGCAATCGGCTTTTACATTAACGGTCCCAATACATCTGATATCAAGTTACAGCATTCAACTTTGAGTGCACCGGCGAAAATCAGGTAAGGTTTTCAATTCCGACCTTTCAAGGCCTCCACATGCACATTTATGACCTACCTGCATCAACCAGCTAACAAGGAACTCCTCAATTACCGTATTTACTTGTATTTCGAATAGTTGCATCTATAGGGTGTGTATGTTAAGAAATATTTTGAATAGATATTACTCTTGTAATCACCCTAAATTATTAAAAAAAATTATATATAATCTGAATTTTTCATTTTTCTCTTCTTCTTAAAATATATATATTTGATGATAAAAGTATGATAAGGAAAGATGTTTTCTTTTTCAAAGAGAACAATATGTTGATCGAATTATATATTCTTAATTTGAGTGTATAAATTTAAAAGAGTTGTGTTAATTTTAGGGGGACTAAATAACTTTTAAGACGTTGGTTTTTATCACGACATAATAAAATTATTTTATTTATTTATTTAATAGTAAGTGTTAATGTATTTATTTTACAACAATATATTAGTAAATATTGTACAATTCTTTGTTCTACGGCGAAAGTTATATGTTGGCGTCTCTACTTCTAATATAGGAAAAAGGTCATGTAGGTTACCAAAATGAACAAAATGATCATTTCCGTGATAGTTGAACTTTTTTGTTAACTTTGCATTGTAGACCTAATGAAATTATATGGAATCAATTCAAAATATAACATGTCGTTGTTTATCAGATTTATTATAATTTTAAAAACTCAAATTATTACGTTAAATAAGTGAACTCATCAAATGATTTCAGTGATAAAAGGAAATATTGTTCTTCTTAGAGGTTATGATCGAGTAATTAAGTCAGCAATGTATGCATACGTTGTCAATTGATTAAGAAAGTTTTGAATATATACTATCTTATAATCACCGAAGACTATACTATACTTTTACCCATATCATTCGAAGGATTGAGATTGAATGTACTTTTTATAAATGCGTTGTCATTTTGCTTTGCGACAATATTATAATTTTATCCTTTATAAAATATCTGATAATGCAATGTCTATTGAATTTATCAAGTGACTTCAGTAATAAAAAAATATCATTTTTAATAAAGGTCTAAGACTTGAATAGTTGCATTTGAAAGACATGTACATTATCAATTAATTTAAAAAAAATAAACAAATATTACCTTATAATCATATCATATTATTAAAAAAAATAATAACACATTGTCTCTCATAAAGTGTTGAGTAGTTAGTTTAACTTTAGCTTAAACTAATGTTTGATTTGACCTAATAATATACGATACAGAGAAGTTCTACAGTGTGGCACCCTTAATATACAACTAAAAAAAGACGTTACCGATTTTGTTATTATTTAAATAATAAAACCGATAAAAAATTACCTAAAACATTATTATCTCTACCTAAAACATTAATGTTTTTTAACATTTTCGATAAAGTGCTCAATAATAACAAAACCGATAGAAAAAATAATAAAACCGATAAAACGCCCAATAATAACAAAACCAATAGAAATAATAATGTTTCATGTAATTTTTTACCGATTTTATTATTTAAATAATAACAAAACTGGCTGCGCCTTTTTTTAGCCATAAATTAAACTGTTATACGTGATCATTTCCCGTACTATACAATTTACAAAAGGATTGTATATATAATTGTATAAATATAATAATTAAATAATTTTAAGAAAATCAATATTTTCTTCTATCACTTAAGTGAGTTAATGGATATATCAGTTTAAAATGACTCAAATAATCCAATCTAAGAAAAATTAATTGACAATTCTAAATAATCTAACACAACCCGAAACCAACACAAAAAACCCTAATTTTACATCTTTCATTTATTATAGATTATCAAGTAGCAGCACATTTCATTGAAATAAAAAGTAACACCAATACTCACCCCCATAGTCATAGCTAGCGCATGCTTTTTCAATTGATAGAGTGGTACTTGTAACAATTAAGAGAAATACTAGTTTTAAGCCTTACCCTGGTTGATGAAATCTGCAACTTTCTTCAGCTTAGCCGCAGCATTTTCGCAATTGGGGTTGTGCAGATGGAAGACATGATCCTCTCCTTTAGCCTCCATCAGCTCCACTTCACCGCCCCATCCACTTTGCTTCAACTTCTCGCAGTAATACAAGCCTCTCTGTTTCAGAATATCCTTCTCAGCAACGCAAACGAGCACCCGGTTGCACCCCAAGTTCCCGAAGCTCGGGTCATCAATGGGGTTGATCCATTGGTCATCGGTCCCACTGGTATTCGGACAGGACAATCTCCAAAGCACATCTATTTTGTCCCTTATGGCCGGATCCTTAGTCTCGTCGCCGACTGGTTCTTTTCCCCAGAAATAAGGATGAGCTAAAACGATACCGTCGAGATGAACACCATCGATCTTTTCTTTGGTCATTTTAACAGCCATGTGGTGGGCAATATTGGCTCCGGCGCTATCACCCGAGAAATAAATGTTGTTCAAATCAGCATGGCGGTTCAGCCATTCTTGAGGGCCGTTTCCGTCGCGATGGGAAGCGACCCATTTAACGGCTTCCCACGAATCGTCGTAGGCAGCGGGGAGGGGGTGCTCCGGGGCTAGCCGGTAATCGACTGAGACGGCCACGATGTTAGCCTCGGCGACCAAGGGGTTTAAGTAATTGTGATACGTGGGGGAGTAGGCGGTCTCTACGCAAAAGCCTCCGCCGTGGAAATACACGAGGAGAGGGTGTTTTCCGGTGGCGTTTGGGGGGATGTAAATCCTTGCGGACTGGGAGGCTTCTTGGGAGTAAACGACGTCTTTGGATTCGACGTTGGTTTTGGGGTCGAGGCCCGGTGGGGCGATTTGAGTGCCTAAAAACCTCTCGATGCGACCATCCTTGTAGGAGCGGAGCATAGGAGGGAAATCGATGAGTATTTCTGATGCGGCGGCTTCCATGGCAGTGAAAAAAGATAAAGATTAGCAAGCACTCAGATTGGCTTGTTCAGTACTTGAGGTTGAGGATGACTCTACTGCATGACAACTATCTTTTTATAATACTCAAATTTTGATTGGCTGTTCAAAAGCAAAGCTGGAAATGGATTTTTTTGTTTCTTTCTTCTCCTTTGTTAATATCATTTATAAATTATTCAACGGTTGAATTTTATTTGTTTCGTACTTATAAATTATTAATTTTTAATTACTTATTTAACAGAAAAAATAATAGTATTATAAATCATTACTTTGGCTTAATGAATAATACGATTCATAAAATATACATTTTTTCTTAATTTCCTAACTAAAATTTCCTTATTCCATTTTAGTACCCAAAATATGACTATATTATAGATTTAACCCAAAAATTTAGTGATGTTAAAAAAATTCAACCAACAAAAAATATCATGTTATGTCTATCTTTATGGATGGACATAGGTCAGGTTAGAACAAATTGAATTTTCGACCAATCCAACTCGACTTAAGAAAAGTATTCCTTCCACCTGATCCAATTTTTTGGATAAAACCCACACTCGACCTGATATATATATATATATTATGCGTTAAATTAAATATATAATTAATATATAGAGAGAGGGGATATATTATTACAATTATATCTAAATACGATGGATAATTACATTACTATCTCTGATTAAATCAGATCAAATATTTTTCATCATAAACCTGAATACGATCCAACACAATCTTATCTTCTAAAATTCAATTCAATTCAATTCAATTCACCATGAATTCAAATTTAAAAAAATATTTAATTTAATAAAAATATATTCAATCAAAATCTGTCGAATCTATACTTCATGTTCTTAGATCTAGACCCGACATGACATCTTTTGGTTGATTGAAATTTTGTAATTTTGGTTATATTTCTAGACTAAAATTTATAACATGATCATAATTTAAATTTCAAAATAAACAAAAAAAAGAGAAGCTATATAATTTTAAGGGTAAATTTATGTATTAGGTCTAAATAATCAATAAATATATTTATTATATTATATTATATTATATATTCTTAATTAGCGTGGACTTACTTGCTCATTTTAGCAAATAAGAATATAAGATAAAGAGAAAGGTGAAGAAATCTAAACTTTCCACACAGACCCATGATTGAGTTTATCGTTATACCCAATAATTTGGACCACGTGATTATGAGTTAAATTTTTATAATATTTAAATTTTAATTATATATTAGAGATAAATTCATTCTACCTTATGATAATTAGAAAAAAATCAAATTATATATATTTATATATTATTAAAGTTTCATAAAAAATATATAAAACTAATGTATTGTAACATATTAAAATTATGATATCTAAATTTAGTATTTAAAATATAATATCAAGGTATTATAATTTTGATATCAAATTTGATTTCAAGTAACGGTCGCTTTAGTCTATCAAAAGTAGTTGCATCGGTGTTGAAATACAAGACCCTCTTGTGGAATCAATGGAAGTCGCTTTCATTATTTTCAACACTGTTTTTTTATTCATACAATGAATTAAATGAAAAAAATAAAATAAATTACATTAAAGTTATTTAATTATGTTGAATTAATCATTTTAAAAATTATAAAATAAATATTAAACTTATGATATCACGATAAATCATTAAATTTGATTGAAACGTTACAGATTATCAAATTTTATCGGCCTGTTATAAAATAATCATTAAATAATTGAACTCGATCTTCAATCGCCAGGTACATTTGCTATTACTGAAGAGAGTTGGTCAATACGCTTTGTGGTCTATTACTGGCAATTACGGAAACATAGATGTATAGTTATTTTTTGTCCCAATTATGTGGGAAAGGAGAGTTCTATCGTACGTTGCGATCGCATAGCTGATGATATTATTAGAACGAATGAGGAAGCGGCTAGTTCAAGTTCACGAGTCGTTCATGCTCCAATAAAGTGGATTCGCCCACTGATTGGTTGGATTAAAACTAATTCGAACGGAATACTTCATCCTATTGATAATGAGGCAGCTGTTGGGGCCTTCTTCGAAACCATAGAGGGGAATGTATTTTCGGATTTACTTGGAGCCTAGGGAGGGGTTCTGTCGTCACAGCTGAACTTTGGGCGTCACACGATCCACTAATCCATGCTTTTGGATAGTCCTTTAAACGAATCGAACTTACACGAACGAATGTATGTTCATGTTCGTTCATTTAATAAATAAACGAACACGAATATAAACGAACAAATTTTTTTTGTTCATGTTCGTTCATTAAGGAATATAGCTTGTTCATGTTCGTTCATATTCGTTTCTTTAAATGATAAACGAACATAAACGAACACAAGCGAACGAACATAAATGAACATAATACATGAACATAAATGAGCACAATAAATGAACATAAACGAACAACACACACACAAAAAACAACTTATTCGAACACAACAAATGAATGTAAAAAAAGTAAACAACAAGAATAACAACTTAAAATTTATTAATAATCTGTAACTTTAGAGTTAATTTGTTCAAATACGACAAAACATACATAAATCATAAATAAGTTATATGAACATAATAAAGTCTTAAAGTTAATTTGTTCAACAAAACAATCATCTTGAAATCCAAACAACTTCAATAATCTTCGTAACATATTCAACTTGCCCTATGTTCGAACATAAATGAACGAACATAAATTAACATAAATGAACGAACATAAACGAACATATAATCGAACGTTCACGAACGTAAATGAACGAACAAACCCTTTGTTTGTGTTCGTTCATTTAATTAAACGAACGCAAAATCTTGTTCATGTTGGTTCATTTAATAAATAAACAAACATAAACGAATTTCCTGTCGCACGATTGATAAACGGTTAGCTGAACGTTGAGTTAAGCCTACTTTTGGAGATGGGTTTCAGACTAGTGCGTGCAGCTTGACACTGACAATAGTGAAATTGCTTGTATCTTAGATAACACGTCTAAGGCCTTGTTGGAAATGCTTTAATTACTACTATTCATGAACTCCGAGACCGTGATTGGATTGTAAGAACTTCACAAGTTCGAGTTTGAGTCATTGTATATGAGTAAATCCTTGTTGGGAGACACACTCACCAAAATCAGATGTGCAACGCTAGTAAGTTCAAATTAATCAAGACGATACCTTAAAACCTATAAGGCAACCAAAAATAACAATAGATCTATAAAAATAAATTTATTTTTAATGAATCGACATGATAAGGTATTAATGTCACTTGTAATACAAATTAATGTCACTTGTAATACAAATTAACATATTTATTAGGACTATTACCTCTTTATACAAATTGAATATTGAATCAATTTATAAGTATTTATAGTTTTATCCCTTATCAAATTATAAATACAATTTGTGATATCTATATCTTTATTTTCATGAATTTTAAATATGTAATATAATTAATTATTTAATTTCATATTATACTTTATAATAAAATTATATATTATAGTAATTAGAAATTTAGTAATACCCATAAAGCATAGATGAACATTTTATTCTAAAACAGATGAACCCAAATTAACCACAACTGATCCATGGAGGCATGATGGGTTGGGTTTCAAGTTTTCAAGGGTTCATAAATGAAGAAACTCGGTTCATCAAGTCCACGGCTTTTTCGCAATCCGGTTTTAACAAGAAAAAAACATGTCCCTCTCCTTGAGTTTCCGCCATCTCTATAACTCCATTCCACCCGCTCTTCTTCACTGCTTCATAGTAACTCACTCCCCTTTCTCTCAAGAAGTCTTTATCCGCAACACAAACCAGAACCCTTTCGCAAATCAGACCGGCAGCTAGCTTGTCAACGTCGCAACCCGGGTTCAACATCGGGTCATTCCAACCGCTGCTTGTCGGAAAAATGAACTCAATCAGCTCATCGCGCTCATGGTTCGTGAAATAAGGGTTTAACAAAAGCAAACCAACGAATCTGAGTCTAATCAGGTCATCCACTGATGCACCAGAAGCTTTCATTATCATGTTATGTGCAATGTTGGCACCAGCACTGTCTCCGGCCAAGAAGACTCGATCGAAGTCGGCTCTTTCGTTGAGCCATGGCTCGGGACCGTCCCTTTTAGCGTGCAAAGCCACCCACTTGATCGCGGTCCATACGTCGTCGTATGCAATGGGGAGCTTGTACTCCGGGGCTTTTCTGTACTCTACCGAAACTGCTATTACTTTGGCTTTATTGACCACGGAAGTGAGGTATTTATGATAAGTAGGAGAGAAAGGAGACTCTAGGCAAAACGCGCCGCCGTGGATGTAGATGAGAAGCGGGATTTTGGCGGTGGGGTCTGCGGTTTGGGGGAGAAAAATACGAGCCGAGGTGAGGGTAGACACCGGTGTGTCCTTGGATCGAACGGCGAGTTGAGGGTCGTCGCATGGTGGCACCGTTTCAGTTTCCCGGAGTCTCTCGACTCGACCGTCTTTATAAACTTGGAACATGGGAAATGAAGGGACGAACACCTTGGCTATTTCTGGGGAACAGTTTGAAGCCATTTTGGAGAAGAAGATGGATTCTAAATCTCAGGAAAGAGGTTCATATATCACATTCATTGATGTAAGACTCGGAGCGGTGGTAGAATAGACTCTTGTAATAAATAATAATAATAATAAAAAGTAAATTACACTTAAATTTTTTGATGATTTTGTTAAAAATTTTAAAAATTAAAAATATTATTTTAATATAATTTAATGATCATACTTTAAGACAAAGGTCATTCTAATATTTATTTTTTATTAAAATTTTAAACAACTATTATTCACGAAAGAGAAACAAGAAAATATAATTTTTATTGTTAATGAATATCGAACTCACAATATAAAAAAATATCAATTGAGAAATCTTATTATTATTTATTCTAAAGATTATTGATTACTTTCTATTAGTTTATAATGATCCATTTTATTTCCAATTATATGTAATCGAACTATTGTATTCTTACCCTAAAATAGATACATTATATATAAATATACTATTAACATGAAGCTCATTTTGGAATCATCTCAAATTTTTAAAAATTCTAATTTAAATATAATATGTTATATTTTAAATTTAGTTAATTTATAAATATATTAAACGATCTCGGCGATAGAATGATTATTGTCTTCTTTAGAAATTTTAAATTCAAACATTTGTGTTTGTAGATATGTATATTTTAATTGTCAATTAATTAAAAAATTTCAATAAGATATAACCCCTATCATCATTCATAATAATTAAAAAAATAAAAAGCTTCAAATATATTTATAAATTAAATGAGTGAAGTATTGATTAGTTGTCGGGTTAGGAGACTTTCGATGCTGTAATAAAGATGTGGTACCCCCATTGGATATATGCATTAATGACACTGTATGTACATAACGTGGCAAATTAATTGCCACGTCTATTCGAGAAATCTGGAAATTCTTTTTACCGGCGTTTTACATGCAAATTGATCTTTTATGTTACATTTAGGTTGGCATCCAATATCTAATTTGACAGCGAATTGTTACTTGGAGTTAATTGCATCCGTATGTTTCTAAATTACGATCCTTATTTTGAATTAATTCTTAATTTTAGACATTTTAATTTAATTCTTAAATTAGGATTCTCGTTTTAAATTAGTATTTAATTTTTTGAATATTCTAATTTTATTACTAAACTATAACTTTCATTCTAAATTGATCCTCAAACCTTTTAATCTTTCAATTTCATCCCTAAATTCTTTTAAATATGTAATTAGTTTCAACCATAGTTTAACCTAAATTTTATTTTTTTTCAAACATACAATAATATAACTTGGCCTATCAAATTGATTAAAAATGGAATTGATTGGTATATACATATAATTTGGGATGAAATTGATATGTTTAAAAAGTTTAGGAACCAATTTAAAATGAAGATCATAGTTTGAGGATAAAACTAATATGTTCAAAAGTTACAGGATTTGAGTGTTCAAAACTTTGAATGATGAGAAGTATTATTTTGAGAAGAATAACAATATATCTCAAAACCAGCCTTATTGGACGGTCATTAAAAGAGATTAGAGTATTAATACGTCAAATATTTAAATAAATTTTCGTCGATTTTGAGTGAGTTTCTTGAAAAATCGATACTAAGAGAATAAAGACAAGTGAAAATTGAACGTTTTAATACTGATATTGTCACGAAAGACGATCGGTGATTAGTTACTGACAATAGTTTTGGTGTGACAAATCACGTCAACAATCATTAATTACATTATCGTCTCGACGATTTTTCCGATATATCACCGGTGACCGGTAATATTACCGATCTAACACCGGTCAGATTATATTTCTCGATCTAACACCATTAGCAGTAAAGCGCGCCCACTACACCGCGCTATACGATGATTTGGTGCCACGTAGGGTATAGCGCACCCCCTGCACCGCGCTATACGGTGAGTTGGCGCCACGTGGGTATAACGCGGCCCCTGCAGCGCGCTATACCTGTATATCTGACACGTGGGGTATAGCGCAATGCAGGGGGCGCACTATACCCCTAACTACCGACCCCTCCTCCTTATAAATATCATATTCTCAATCAATTTTATCACACTAAATTCTCTCAAATTATCTAAATTTCTCTCAAATACTCTCTTTTTAAGGTATATTTTATAATATTTTTACTATTATATTTTTACTTTATTTAATATTTTACTAATATAATTCTTTTGCAGATATATAATGGAAGGCAGTCTACTTCGCTCTGATGGAAATCATATATCTCTACACTTTGCTGATACGGTAATATTTTAACGTTTTAATTTAATTTAAATTATTAGTAATATTTAGTTATTTATTTAATACATGATTATTATATTAATAATTAAATATCTCGACACTTTGTTGATACGGTAACATTTTAACGTTTTAATTTAATTTAAATTATTATTAATAATTAGTTGATTCATTTAATGCATAATTATTAGATTAAGAATTAATTTTTGTAATTATTTATTTTTAGGAGAAGGACCGTGTATTAGATCCTTTTATTAGGAATCTTAAGTTAGTGATACCTATCCGTGTCTTGCCTTATTTAGTAGAGGCTGGATTCGGTTACATAGGAAGATATCAGGGTCACTGTAAGATAGAGCCAGACCTGATTTCTGCCTTAGTAGAGCGGTGGAGGCCGGAGACCCACACATCCATCTTCCGTGCGGAGAGTGCACGATCACGCTTGAGGATGTTTCTATGCACCTGGGGCTTCCGGTGGATGGAGATGTGATATCGGGGATAGTTTCCGATTCTTGGACTGCTTTGTGTCGGGATAGTCTAGGACGTGTCCCGGAAAATTTTATCGGAGGTAGGATATCGTTAAATTGGTTAGATGCCAATTTTCGGGAGTTGAGCGCAGACGCCTCTGAGGATGAGGTTAAGATGTATGCACGGGCATGCATACTGCAGCTAATAGGAAGGTTGCTGATGCTGGACAAATCGCGCAACCTAGTTCACTGCATGTGGTTACGACATCTTAGCGACTTTCGTCTCGTCAGATCATTCAGTTGGGGCTCGGCAGTTTTGGCTTTGCTGTACAGGGAGATGTGTGGAGCCACTGACTACAGGCGTAATGCTATCGGCGGATGTCTCCTGCTGCTACAGTCTGGGGCATGGTATCGATTGCCCTTTTATGTCCCGTTGTGAATAACCTATTCGTATTTCCACTACTTCTGAGGTTATTATAAAACTGATTTTGTATATTAATAATTTTATACAACGTATAACAATTTTTTTTCCTTGAATAGGTGGTCTACTGATAGGAAAAATCATCAGGAGCTACCTGATGATTTAGAAAAGATTAGGGTGCTAATCAATCAGAAGACTGGCACACAGGTATGAATTTTAATGTTTAAAAATCGATTTTAGATTATAGTTATATAATTAGATTATTATTTTGATAAAAATTATATATTATTTGTTTTAGTTTGAATGGGTGCCATATTCTACTGATGATACGAAGGCGGTGATCCCACCTGAGTTGAGGGGTCCATTAGATGTTTGGATGGCGATGGTCCTTCTGATCTGTTATGCGACCGTCGAGTGGCACTCCACTGATCGCGTGCTCCGATAGTTTGGTTGTTTTCAACCAATTCCGGAAGCACCTCGCAATATGAATGAGTTGCATAGCTTAGATAGACGCTGCAAGACAGATACAGATTGGCTGGTGAGGCATCATGAGTGGGTCGTGTTGTGGGAGGATCGACATCGGCGCCTTCCACGTAGAGAGCCCATTTTTACTGACTTCTTGATGTATGCTGAGGAAGATAATAAACTTGCTAAGTTTCACTTACCCATGTGCACAATTAATTGACGCTCATCATTCTTCTTGTACCTTCCATGGTAGTTCGCGGCAATATGTCGAAGACAATACCTATGTTAGACAAAGGGTGGTTGTCACATTGGACCCAAAGACTCCATTGCTGCTTTAATCCCAACTACGCGATCTGAAATGACACAGATATTTTCCCTCTTGATAACATGTGCCCGTAAATTTCGGAGGAAAAAAGCCCAAGAAGCTGTATCTTCTCCTTCGACAAGAGCAAAAGCAACTGGAAGAATGTTGCGATTGCCATCTTGGACAACTGCCAATAATAAAACTTGCTTGTATTTTCCATACAAGAAAGTTTCGTCGATCTGGACCACAGGCTTGCAGTATTTGACAGCATTAACGCACTGTGGGTAACTCCAAAAAACCCGGTAGAATTGTCATCGATCGCGAAGAACTCGATCATTATAGTATGCATAGGAGGTTTCGAAGTCCACAATTGTCCCAGGATTCAACGTCCGCACCAGCCTAAACCAACCTGGAAGTTCATTGTAAGATGCATCCCATTAGCCATGAAGTTTGACAATGGCATTTTGTTTTGCCAACCAAGCTTTTTTATAGGAGACAGTGTACCCATACTGCGATTGTATAGATGAAATCAACACTGCAACAACTATATGAGAGCTTGCTTTGACCATGGGCATGATGGCTTGGCATATCACTTCAGAGTCCAAGTTGGGATGATCTTGGTTGACCCCTCCAGCACAACATGTGTGAGGACCGTTGTATACTGTTAGTTCCCATCTGTTGTTTTTCCTCTTCCTTTTCGATACGCGAACCATCCAATTGTATCCGTTTTCGCACTGGGCATAGTAGAATACATATTTTTCGGCCGTGGAGCGGTCTACTATGGGCTGAACAAAATTACGAATATTGTAATTTTTGATAGCCATCATCGCTTCTTCTTTGCTTGAAAACTCCATGCCTAAAGATAACTCACCATTATTTATTGATGAGTAATACCCATAATCACCGAGATGAGGCATATCCGCAAATTCTGGCCCGTACATTGCATCATAATCAGCTTCATACATGTGTGCAGGAGGGTCAGTTTGTGCCACATTTCCTGGAACTTCATCATCATCGGAGTTGAATTGCGGTGATTCTGGGTCAATGAACAGTCCAGTCTCAGCACCATCCGCACCAGGCTCACGAAGCGGTTCTTCTGGTGGAGATGATGGTTTCTCCATGCTCTCCACATTTAGGTCGAAGA